GACGTCCCAATGCTGGCCCGAGGGAGGGCACTTCAATCTGAAAGCCCTTGGGACAGCACTGAAATTTGAACAACGCAGTACGGACCGCGCGGACGAACAACCAATTATAATTATCCTTCAGCCTGGACATTACACAACGACGCGCGACGACCAAGAAACAAACACGAAGTGCGATAACAACAACGAGGCAACAACAACGATGTCGGGCGCCGTGTCGTCATTTGGACAAGCCTCGTGAAATGCAGTCCTGGGAGCGCCATAGTTTACAAAGGGGTCGGCGGATGTGGCGCAAGCCTATAGCATCGGAAATTGGGATGGGTCCAAGGCCTTCGGGTTTGGCGGGGGTTGTTTAGTAGTAGTAGTAGTGAACCGCAGCGACTCCACGACCTTCTGCGGCCATGGCCCCATAGGACACGGACTACCTTCCAGGCCTCGACGGTTTGAGCGAACGTCCTCCGATGTCTGCGTTGTCACCCGTCTCCAGCCTTTAGCGGTGGTAATCGAAAACGGGGCCCGTGGAAATCACCAGCCCGAGCTCTGCCCGAATCCCAAACCTCAGATGGACTACCTGTTCCGTCCGTCCTCTCCTCCTCCTACCCCTCTCACTCCTCCTTTTCTGTCTTCTGATATATAAACCCTCCTGATCCCTCCCTCCTCACTCCTCTGTCTGCTTCCTCGTCGTCCTCCCTCCCCCCTACCCCTCGTTCACCCGACTCCCGCTCTCATCATTCATTCCCACCCTGCTCCCTCTCTCCACATTCTCCTCCTCCTCCTCCTCCTCCCCAGACGGGTCTGGTTCCAACCGGAGCGACCATGATACAAACACGGCGAGCGTTCTCCAGCCAGCCTGCCAAACCCCAGAAGGTATTATGACCACAGGCAGGCCTGAATGTTAAGCATCGCATGTGCCGCAGCGCTTCCCAACTAAATCTCAATGCACAGGCGTAAGGGCCGCACTTCCGCCTACATCCCTGAGACAACAGGGAATACCTTACCACACCCTATATCACGACCCACCGAATTTCAACCTCGCTCATAGTTGCTCTGGTCTCGAATACCACGTTCTACTCCACTACAAGATCAGATCGCCCCCTAGCAACTTCGAACTGTAGGCCTGCCCATGTCCCACCAACTTGCGTTAACGCTCACGGCTCTCCGTAGTGGCTGTTACAGAGCCAAGGATGGCCGAAGCCACTCGAAGCCAGATCTCAAAGCCTCTATGCAGATGTCAGATTCTCAGAACCTTCCGCAAAAGCCTAATAAGCGCTTCCCCGGCTTCTCAGAAACTTCCAAGCAGCCCACCAGACGCCTCTCAAAGCCCCCAGGGGCCTCTCAGAAGCCTCGCAGATGCTTCTCAGAAGCCTCTCAAAGCCTCCCAGAAAAATCTCATAAGACTCCCATTAGCCTCTGAAGAGTCTCTCATAATCATGATAGAATCCTCTCAGAAGCATCTCAGGAATCTCTCACGAGACTCTGGGGGCCCTCGGATATCCTTCTGGCTGAAACACGCCGAGTCTGTACCTTATTGGAACAGTACCACCCTGGCTCGGAAACGATCGCTATGGTTGTTAAGAGACCTGAAAACAACTCCCCCCGCCCCCTCACTCTTCCTCCCTCCCACCTCCTGCATCCCAATTCCTTCCCGTCCCTCCCTGCCTCTTCCCATCTATCTTCCCTCCCTCTCTCCCCCTCCTGCCTCCTTTCTCGCTTCCCATCCCCTCTCATCCTGTTCCTGCCTCCCTGCCTCATCCCTCCCCTTCCCCTCGCTATCTTTCCATGCACCCTCCCTGCAGTCGGTCCGTATCATAAGGATGCGCGATGAGGATGCACGTGCCTTGGACGCCCATTTCGAAGCTTCTCGAGCGGGGCGAGGCCAGCGAAAGTGGCCAAGGATGGGCCGAGGCAAAGATGCAAGGGTGCCCGTTTGAAGATTGTCCATCCTCACTATGCGGGTTGACTGTACTCCCTCCTCCCTTCCTCCCTCCCCCAACTCTCCCCCCATCACCGTTCTCTGGGCCGGCAGGGGGCGGGCGGGAGGGGGGGCGGGGGGGGGCGGGGGGGGGAACCACCATCAGAAGAATGTTTTGTTTGGCTGTGCTGAGGTGGCGGGCTGCTCCGTGGAGGATACGTCAGCGCACGTCTGACATGGAGAGAGAACTGATATTACCACAAACCCCGACCTTGGAGGACAAGTGGGCGTGACTTGCGAGGAAGAAAAACAACAAACGAGGCTCGGCTCGGGAAGCTCTTTCTGTGCTCCCTGAACGCTCCTATGCTCGCGGGGCCCGAAGCAGAAGGTGACAAGAGAGAGAGAGAGAGAGATGGGGGCAGTGCCATGCGGCCCGCCTGCTTCTTCAGCCTGTCCAGCACGGCGGCCCTGTCCTTCAGGTTGAGACCGAGGTCGTCCTCGGCGTGAGACGCAGGCAAAAGGAGGATAAACCCGGAGGAGGACAAATCGCGAATCTCGCTCGCCGAGCACGAGGTTCTGGAGGACGCACACCGGGCGCCGCGGCCCTTCCAGAGCAATCCAGGACGCTCATGGAGCTTTCCGGGGACGCCGTGGGGCGATTTCTGCTCAACCTATGGGCCTGCCCGAAGACGGGCGCAAAGAGGATGGCAAAACCAGCCGGCCTCGCATCGGAGCGTCGCATCGAACTGTAATGCGCGTCGGATCGCGCCGCGCCGGCACGGCGTCGAGACTGACACGGATCGACCGCGCCGGGATGCACGACAGCGCCGTGCAGTCATCGGGCCGCATCGGATCTTTGGACGCCCGAAATGGGTACGGAAAAAATGGGTACAATGCCCAACAACAGATGTTGTTCCAAACCAACAGCGGCCGCTGTTGGGCAGGCGGCCTTCTGTCTCGAATGGACACAGGCCGCGGCGGCGTGGACAGCGAATCCTGTTCAAAATGAACAGGAACTGCTGGTGGGCAGTGTACCCATTCTTTCCGTACCCATTTCGGGCGTCCAGAGGATCGTTAAACCATCGAAACCGAGCCAGATCGAGCTGGCCAGACTCGATAGCGAACAGGATCAGCCGGAGCGAAGCAACCTTGGCAACAGGATGCACCAGGCACGCCAGGCGCTCTCGAGCTCGGGCGCCGAGCTCGAACAGGTGCAGGCCAGGCCAGGACCAAGTTGTCTTACAGCGAGCCGCTCCTGTGCGCATGCAGGGTGACGGCCGGCCCGTGTCATAAGGATGCGCGGTGAGGGTGCAAGGGCCTTGGACGCCGATTTCGAAGCTTCTCGAGGGGGGCGAGGCCAGCGAAAGTGGCCAAGTATGGGCCGAGGAGGCAAGGATGCAAGGGTACCCTTGGGAAGGTTGCCCAGCTTTACCATGCGGGTGGACCGTAGTCAACATGCGCACCTTGCAGAGGTGAGCGTGGCCCGGGCATGTTGCTCTGCCCGTCGCTTCGCCCCCCCTTCCGAGGCAACGGTCGGGCTCTTCCCGAGAAGGGCTGCTTCGACGCATGCACGTTTACTCTCACGTCCTTGCGTGATGAAGCCCCCTTCTGAAAGAAATTATCCCAGTGCGACCCTACCTAGGAGTTGGAGGATCTAGGAAAGCAACATCTAACAGTTATATGAAGCTAAGCTAAGCTAAGATGAAGCTAAGCTAAGATGAAATAAGATAAGCTAAGATGAGATAAGCAACGCTAAGCTAAGGGAACGTCACTGGGGGAACCGCGGGGCGGATGGCGGGGGAACCGCCCGGGGCGTGCCCCACTGCCCGGCCCTTTAAGCAAACCGAGTAAGAACCCTTCTAGGCAGAGCCTAGGCAGGGAACCATCGATACCCATACTGAAGACTCTGTCTCGCGCCCTTCAGCGACCTCCCTCCATTGGCTGGCCCGCCGCCCTCGGACCTCCGCCTTCGTCCGTAGGCCTTCCCAGTGGGGTCCGTGCAACTGAGGCCAGAGGATCGCGCCGCATCGTCGATGCATCGGCGACGTCGCCGAGTCGCCGATGCCGACATGGAGAACATCGGGCTCCACATCGAGCAGCATCGGCGATGCGGCGCGATGCTCCGACCCCGTCTACTCGCACCCCACTTCGGTGAGACAGGTCGGGGCAGGGGTGCGCAACAATAACCATAGCACTCGTGCGAGAACCAGCATGTAGAAGGGAGGTCCATGCCCCACCACCCTACATACGGTCGTTAACGTTCCCCACGGTGTAAGGGGCAACGATAGGGTTAAGTCGGGCCTGTCTCCCTACAGGGGGATTTGAGACGAAAAATAAAAGATCCCCCCAAAATAATCAAAAGATGCCCAACAATACTCCAACAATAGTCCCCAGACTATGCTGTTACTATTTCTGAACATGCCTCCTGTAGAGGGACGGGCCCGACTTAAACGATAGGGGGACTGGCTCAAGGGGGGGAACACCGACCTGGAATCTGCCGCACATCACCGATAGCTCGGCGACAGACCCCCGACAGCGAAGGCGCCCGTCCCTGGGGAAGGGTGGGGCGATCAGACCCCTGCACCGGCGATCCGAGTTGGGGCCGGTGCGTCCCCCCCGGAGCCCATCCCCCCACACAGGCAAGCCGGAAGCAGTGGAAGTCGGAAGGCCAGCGAGGGTGAAGTGGCCGGGGCTAGAAAGGCCGGCAGCGGGTGCAGCGAGCCCGAAACGGTGAGGGTGCGGTCGCCAGGGCGGGGAAACATCCAGGGGAACTGGCCAGGGCTGGCGAGAGTGGAAAGGCTGGCCCCAGTCACTCTTTCCAGCTTCTGTGCATCGTTGCCTCTGAGGGTGCGGGGGGGGGGGGGGGCAGATCGGCAGACCAGCAGGCCTCCACTGAGGAATCGGAATCCAGATCGGAATCCGAGGTCGAATCGAAATCGAATGGAATCGAATCGGAGAAATCAAAATGAGCCCTGGGAGGGGGCCAGCAGGACTGAAGGGGCCCAAGGACACACAAATCCGCCGGCCCCCTTGTGGGGCCACCAGGCTGTAGGCGCGGGTTCGCAGTTTCCTGTACCAGTTGTAGCTTGTAGTTTCCAGTGTTACTAGTTGACTTCTTGCTGGTTACTGTAACTAGTTGATTGACCGCGCGAGGGGGCGGAGGCCCAAACAGGATTTTTAGCCTCACCTGGGCGCGTTGTCTGAATTGCTAGGGGGGCTCGAAATCGACACCCCTCACGCAGATCCGCGGGGTCAGGGTCCAAAAACACAGGGATTTGCCACATTTCTGAAATTCGGTGCCACCCCTCACGCAGATCCGCGGGGTCAGGGTCCAAAAACACAGGGATTTGCCACATTTCTGAAATTCGGTGCCACCCCTCACGCAGATCCGCGGGGTCAGGGTCCAAAAACACATGGGATTTGCCACATTTCTGAAATTCGGTGCCACCCCTCACGCAGATCCGCGGGGTCAGGGTCCAAAAACACATGGGATTTGCCACATTTCTGAAATTCGGTGCCACCCCTCACGCAGATCCGCGGGGTCAGGGTCCAAAAACACAGGGATTTGCCACATTTCTGAAATTCGGTGCCACCCCTCACGCAGATCCGCGGGGTCAGGGTCCAAAAACACATGGGATTTGCCACATTTCTGAAATTCGGTGCCACCCCTCACGCAGATCCGCGGGGTCAGGGTCCAAAAACACATGGGATTTGCCACATTTCTGAAATTCGGTGCCACCCCTCACGCAGATCCGCGGGGTCAGGGTCCAAAAACACATGGGATTTGCCACATTTCTGCAATTCGGTGCCACCCCTCACGCAGATCCGCGGGGTCAGGGTCCAAAAACACATGGGATTTGCCACATTTCTGAAATTCGGTGCCACCCCTCACGCAGATCCGCGGGGTCAGGGTCCAAAAACACATGGGATTTGGCACATTTCTGAAATTCGGTGCCACCCTTCACGCACATCCATCGCAAGGCGTGGTAACCCAAACTGCGAGAACTCCCTCGGCCCTTTAATCGCAAGGTGTGGCAACCAAGCCCGTAAACCATACACGTCTTACCAATCGCCAGGTGTGGTAACCCCTCTTGTGATCAGTTGGTTTTGCTGATTGCGAATCGGCTTCGCATGAAGTTTCGATACTGCTTCACGACAGCGCCAAGGCCTCATGACTTAGCTCTTCCATGGCCCATTCTCCGACAGAGGGGGCCGGCGGCAGGGGGCGAAGCCCTTACGGATAAATACACACAAATAAAAAGATCCCCAATGTTTGTTGAATATTTTCTGGGTTTTTGTCTTCCCCCCCCCCTTTCCATATTTGCCCTTATTCTCTGGGGAATCGACGATTCATTGTGTCTGTGCGTTTTCGTTCTCTCCTGACGGACGGCCGCACCGCTCCGGGGGGGGGGGGGGGGCGCACCATCGCCGGGCAAGCCCCGGGTGCGCACCGGCGGGGCCCCGCGCAGCGCGTACCTCCGCGGAGCTGCCCCGGGAGCCCGGGCGCGGTCCCCGATGCAGGAGGATCGGCGGCGGGCGAGGGGGGCAACATCAAGCTGGCGCTCGCGTCATATCTGACGTCCAACCCCTCCCTCCCATCCCTTCTCTTGGCGTAGGTCCCTCCTCTCTCCCTTCGCAAGCGGATGTCGCAGCACGGTGTGGCATAACATGGCACAGCCTGGTGTTGACGATCAACGCGTAGCATGAGATAGCATGGCGTGGCGACGCCCCGATGTGGGGGGAGGGCTTCTGCGGCCCAAAAAATCAACGAATCGGCACATAATGTTAAATCACTTCCGATGGTTTTGGTTCGGGAGGCCATTTTCTAGATTGTAGGGTCTGTTTGGAAGGACCGAAAACCATGCCGTGGCAGGGTACTGGAAATTATGACGCCAGCGCTGCAACGGGAGCACGAGTCGGGACGAGCGAGCGCGGAAATCAGTCCACCGCTGCAGCGGGAGCACGACTCGGAACGAGCAGAAGCGCGGAAATGAAGCCATCGCTGCAACGGGAGCATAAAAATGAGGCCAGCGCTTCAGCGGGAGCCAAATTTTGGAAAGGAACCCAAGCAAAAACCCATTTCGCGGGAATCCTGTTTAAGAAACAATACGCGGAAGGGGGGCCAGATATCTTCCGGACTTCATCAGGGGAGAGAGGAGAGTAGTACTCATAGTGTAATTGTGAAGGGGAAGGCCTTCTCAGAAGGCGGCGGGGCTTCTCAGAAGCCCTCGCGCCTTCCGAGAAGTTGTCTGTTTCTTCGGGGAAGACATAGAAAACTTATCAGAAGGCTGTGGGATTTCCGAGCCTTCTGAGAAGGCCCGCCCCTTCTCACTCCCCCACGGGCTCGCCGCCGAGAGAAGGGATGCGCGATCACAACATCTCACCTTGCCAAGGATGAAGCCAGCGCGAACCCAAAGATCGCCAGGCACGAGCTGGAATGCCATGCGAGCCACCTGCAGTAGAGCCGTCGCCGCGTCTCCCAGGCCCAGGAGCCCGGGAGAAGTGGCGACTGCCCTACGTCCAGCAGCACCCCTATGGGGGGGACGAGGGGCCGAACTTTGGGCCCACGCTGTGTCGCAGCTGCGCCAGACCCCCCCCCACCCACCCGTCCAGGAGCCCAAGAGGCGGCGACGGCGCTCCCCCTCCCCCTGTGTCGTCGTCCTCCTTCTTCGCCGCCGTCCTCGACCCTCGCCGCCTCCCCTGTCCTCCTTCTCCCGCTCCTCCCGCTCCCTCACCCCTCTCCCCTCTGCTCCGCCTCTCGAGCTCCTCCTGCTGGCGCGTGCTTTTGTTGGTTGTTCTCCTGGCGCGTGGCCTCGCCTCCTCCTCCTCCTCCTCCTCCTCCTCCTCCTCCTCCTCCTCTTCCTCCCGTCTCTCCTGCTCCCCCTGCCCCTCCTCCTCGTCCACTGCTCGAGGAGGAAGGGCCTCGGGAGGAGACAAGCACGGCGAGGTGGATGCAGCCGAAAAGGAGATGGGCGTCCTCGATCATGACCACCTTCTGGACCCCATTTGCGAACGTGCACAGGATGCGGGTGTTCGACGTGTTCTCGCACCAGCCTCGGGCAGACAAGGTTGCGAAGAGAGGGAAGCAAGGAGGGAAGGACGAGAAAGAGGGAGGAGGAGGAGGCGGACGAGCAGGGAGAGAGACGACGAGAGGGAGTGACGACGAGAAGAAGGAGGAACGACGAAAAGGAGATGAGGGACGGATCGAGCATATGGGGGGGAACGAGAAAGCGGAGGACGAGGAGGGGGACGATAACGGGAGCGAGGGCAAATCCGCCGATCTGGCGTGTAAGCTTCAAAGAACCCGAGCTACAGCCAACAGCCTGAGCTTCAGCTCTGCTGGGGGGGGGGCCCGAGGGGGGCCTGCTGGCGAAGGAGGGGTAGGTGGGGGGGGGCGGGGGCGCCTGTGCTCCGCTGTCTGAGCGGGGCTGGGACACGTAAAAACCAGCACGATGGCCGGACAGCCCAAAATGGCTGCCAGATGTTTCCCAGACGGCTCAGGATACATTGAAGATGGGTCAGGATGCCCTCCAAAAAATGCCCGCAAGGGCCCCAATCGTTGATTTTCTACACGCTGTTGAAGGATTTGGGCGCTTTGTCCTTTCAGCCTTCCGACGGCCCCAGAGGCCCCAAAGAGTTTGAAAGGGGTTGGGAGGCCCAACAAGCAGCTTCGCCCCAGGCGAAGCCCAACTCGCGCTCTGTTGTACCGTAGTAACGATAGTTCCCGTAGTAGGGGGCGAGCCATCCCAAGCAGTTCTGGCATCGATGGCAGATGGTAACCTCGCGCTGAGGTGTAGTCAGATCTGGGCGGCCGGCCGCTTTCAGCCAATCAGCCGCGGACGCACGCTCGTTCCCACCCACATGCAACGTCCAGCTCACTTTAGAGTCGGGGGGGGCGGAAACGAAGCGTGAACCCGCCGCCTCTACAAAGCAGGTACAGCAGCGACTAGTTACAGAAAGGGCAGCAAAAAAGGCGGGGCCGCAAGGAAGGTGGACCCGCGCGCAAATTGCCTTGCCTGCACTATACTGTGCACGCGAGTACTCCTCATGCGGCTACAGAACGAGATGTCTGGCCAGCCCAGATAGGGAGTATGACGCTTTAAATAATGTTTGAAAGATTGTGTACCTCCCACGACCTGTAAGAGAATGTATCTGTCGATGCTCCCCTCGGTGTGACCGTCCGCAGTCATATCGCGGGGGTCACACCACTGAATACTGGGCACGAGTCCTCGCTCCATCATCTGTAGTATCCAGCTGATGCGTCCTCAAAGGGCACACTCAGTCGGATTCTTCAAGTCTTCGCTTGACAAGGACTTAAAAACAGATTCAGCATCGATGGTCAAAGTGACCTTGATGCTCAAGGCACCCAACGCAAGTATGTCCTTCAACTGAGTGGGAGTTAGCGGCCCTGCGTGGAGCTCGTGCAGAGTCACGATCGTGGGATAACAGTCCTCCAAGTTGCGGGCTGCTGCTAGTGTCTCTGCTGAATACCTCGAGCGGACCTGCAAGCGGCGAGACTTGCAGTGCGCATCGATCAAGTGAACGACGGGCTTACCGGATGGCGTACTTCCACGCCGTAGCAGGTTTGCCCCGCGAATACCATAGCCTTTGACTTCGTCATGAGCATCTTCACCCAGGCGTCGGTAACCTTAGTCGCTTTGTAGGTCAACCTCGCCCGTGGGAGTCATCGTCTGGTAGACGATCGTCTCAGGGCAGGCCTGCAGTTTCCTGGCAGAGGCGCTCAGTCGTCGCACTTCTATGATTAGTCGGTTTTTGGACACGTTGTAGACAGAGAACATACACCATCAACCACACCTGGGTGATGAATGCATACGCCAATGCGCCACTAAGGCTGACGAACATGTATGCAACCATCTTGGATGTTTGGGCGTCAGTGCCGGCGCGTAAGTTCAGGATGTTGTCTAGGACGGAGCTGCTTGATGTATTCGTCCAGGTCCAAAGCAACACTGTCGTCCTCATCCTCGGTATACCTCACAGCACAATTGGTGCATGTGGTCTTGTTGAGTTCACATGTACCAAAGGTGTCTTCTACGCGTTTGACGTACTTGACAATGGTATCCTCTGTACCGGCCGTATTGATGTCATCATCATGTTTGGCCGTGAGCAGGTTACTGCTCGTCTCGAACTCCTCGCCGTAGGACGTGGGTCTGAGACCAAAACCTCTGGTGGTCCTTCTGAGCTTGAATGAGAAAATTCGAGGTGCGTCCTTGGTGCCAGTGCGTGGCTCACGGCACTGCAAGCAGTGCTTCGACTCGTCGTAGTGTTCGAATCATGGGAGAGTTCGAAGCACCGTAGCCGATCCAGGCGGCAGTATAAAACACACCACACGCTCCTTTTCGCCAGTTGCCTCAGCAAGTTCCTGGTAGGTTAACCTTTTTCAGGAAGGCCATGTTGATGCCGAGGGAAGCAATGATCCATTGTTTCTTGCACGCTGCCGTGCTCGCGAGTAGTCTCTGGTTTGACCGCTGTGCTGTTCCCGAAGAGGTTTCCAAATCAAAGGCTTCAACGTCCATGAAGCCTCGAAACACCAAGCGTAATATGATGGTACGTTCCATTTCGCCCTTCTCGTGCTTCACAAACTTCCATTTGTACACATACCTCGAAGTCATGATGTTTGACGCTTGAGTGTCGAGGGCGCGGCGTCTGAATGAATTGTGAGGAAGAACCAAACAACTCCTCCCGCTGCTCCTCCTCCCTCCTCCCATCTGTGCCTCTGCCTTCCGCGTGTCTCTGTTCCGGCACACCCCTCACACGCCTCGTGGCCCCATAGGAGGCTCCACCGAAGGCCCCAATGGCAACGCCCGCATGGCTCCACCGCACCCGTTTCGGCTCCCGTGCCGCGCGGGTGCTTCGTGCACCCATGGGGAGCTCCGCCAAAGGCCCCAGTGGCAGCGCCAGCTTGGCACCACCGCGCCTTTTTCGGCACACCCCTCGCACGGTTCGCTGCCCCAGTGGGAGCTTCGCCGAGGGCCCCAGTGGCAGCGCCCGCATGGCTCCGCCGCGCCCGACTCCTGTGAAACTTTTCGAGGACGTCCCGCGCGAGAGCGCGAATTGGGAACAAGTTGTGAGAACGTATCGGGGGGGAGCCGTTGTAGTTGTAAACCGAGGGCCAGGGGCCCAGTTTTGTGACGCCCGACTTTCCCTTGTGGGAAACACAAAACAGGGTGCCAGCCACGGGAGACACACTTACATAAAATGATTACCGGGCAGGGGGGATCAACAAGAATTATTGATCAGAAATGAAGATTCCCCAATCAAAACAACAACAACAACCACAACAACAACAACAATCATTTAAGACTGGGGACACTCCGTTCTCACCAGTGCCAGGGTTTTCATAGGAGGCGGGCAATACCCCCACTTTGTGGGGGGGCCGGTTCAAGCTCTACCAAATTTCCAAACGACTCTTCGCCACCACCCACACCCAGCTTCCCGCCCTATGACGTTCGGACACTTCACTTCGTGGCATGCGGACGACCGTGGCTACTATTCAGGGCCCCGCGGCCGACGACGACGGCGTGCGCGCGCGAAGAAAAAACGAATGTGTCCCGCATGGTATTATTTGACAGGGATGATGGCCCTGGCAGGTGCGCAACCGTTGTCGCAGAAGTTCGAAAAAGTTGCTCGCAAAAGCCCGTTTGACAGAAATGTTTAAAAAGTGTTGGGTTTCCTACGAATCCGCAAGAGCGCGCGGGATGAGATTTTGACAATTTTTTGTTGAAAAACCATTGGTTTTTTGATGTTTTTATGTTAAAATCGTTGCGAACACTAAGGTTTTGGAAGGATTTCGTCTTGCGCGCGCGAATGTCCACTTTACCTTATTTTTTGCAAGGGATTCTTGAAATTTGATTATATTAGAACAAGAAATGTCATTTTCTATTGTTTTTTGCAAGGGAAAGCGGATTACAACAAAACAACCGGATCCTGTACACACCCTCTTTTCTGAGGCTTCCTCACGAAAATGATGAAAATGTAGCTGCGGCCTAGGCGGCGCAGGGGGGGCGCGCACCAGGGGGCCCAACAATAATTATTCTTTAGAATAAATAATGTTCAACAACAACAACCACAACATCAACAACAACAACGACAACGACAACAACAACAACAACAACAACAACAACAACAACAACGACAACGACAACGACAACGACAACGCGGACAACAACAACGACAATGACAACGACGACGACGACGACGACGACGACGACAACACCAACACCAACACCAACACCAACACCACCAACAACAACAACAATAACAACAGCAACCACAACAACGACAACAACAACACAATGCGCATCGCAGAACCGCACTTCAGCCACGCGACCAGGGATAGTGAATGACCATTCGGCTCCCTCACTCCGACAAGTGCCGACGCTAAATTGAACCTCCCAAAAATTGCTTCTTGAGGGAGGGACTCGAAGTGTGCACCAAGTCGTCTGGTCGACCGAGGAGCTCGGTGTGGAGGCTCCTCAACCTCCCAACCTGCGGGACGCCGGATGATCTACAGTGAACACTCACCGAACGCCCTCGCCGATGTCCTTGACGACGTGGCCAGACCAAACACGCGGTGTGTGCGTCGAGCCCCTCCAGGTGCAAACGCTGACGCTGGATCATGACGCCGCATGTGACTGTCCAGCCTGACCGATCTTCGCTGTCCACGTTAGGGGGCCACATGCGAACCCTACCCCTACCCCCACGATTTTCGAGGGGGAGGGTGGGGTTCACTTAGCTCGGTAGCTCCCGAACGAAGTGAACCCCACCCTCCCCCTCAGAAATCGTGGGGGGTAGGGGTAGGGTTCGCATGTGGCCCCCTACACGTGGTCCGGTCGAGGCCGCCGCCGGCGTTCCACCGTGGACGGGCCCGCGCCGGCGTGGCTGCCGTGGCGCTGCGGCCTGGAACCTGCCGTGCCTGCGCGCTCAAGCGCCGCCCCCGGCTTGGGTGAGCCTCCTCGTGGGAGCCTCGATGCACCGCCGCAGCACTATCATAAACATGATCTCCACCAGACTTTGACCACCCCTCTTCATCCATTCGTTCATATGTTGTTCAGATGTCGTCCAGCTGTCGTCCAGACGTGTCGACCAACTCCGACGAAATCCAGACGAATTCCTCCAAAATTGCAAGGAATTCGGGGACCCTCTGAAACTCCCATGAAAGACCAAATAATCCGTGGGAAAGCCAAAGAGTACCGATACTGCTACTTTCCAGACCCCAGACCCCTCCTGGGGAGCATTCTGATCAGGATTTCGAGGCGAGTCCAACCGTGGCGACGAGGGCCTCCCAGGAGGCCTCCCAGCCAGAGAGAGGTGGGTTAGCGGCAAGGGTGGCTGGCCCAGGAGAAGGGCACCCCATCCGGCCGCAGACCACGATGCGCCACTGGTAGTGGAGCTCCACCTGGTGGACCAAGGCGGCAGCCCTCCGTGTGAGCATCGCTGAACCGATCCCCATCCCCACCAGCGGCTCACCAGCGTGGGCTGGGCCCCACTGGGCGATGTACCCCCCCCCCTGGACAGGGGATGTAGGCTGCTCCCTCCGGGTTTCGAGGGGCATAGCCATCCCCCACTGAGGTGGTGAGGCGGTGGGGAACGAGACGTGGGTGGGGATGGGGATGGGGATCGGTCAAACGATGCTGACCGTCGCCGCCTCGAGCTCGCAGCACCAGGCCCGACCAATGACTACCTACCAGACCACCCCAACCCAACCCGAAGACCCAAATTTCGGGTTGGGGGGGGGTATGGGTTCCATTCGTGTTTGTTCGATGTTCCCCGACCCCCCCCCCACTGGAAATGGAGTGCAAATGGAGGCCTTCGGGTTGGGTTGGGGTGGTTTGGTGGGTGGTGAACCAAGGCGCATACCCGAATCACCCAGCGCCTCGCGCCGCGCGAGGCGCGCGACGCGCGAAGGCAGCTGCGCGTCGCGCCCGCGCGCCGACCCCCTGCGGGGAAGGGCAGCTCCCGTCGCGAGCCGGCTCCTTAAGGGCTCCCAACTTCGCGCTTCGCGCTGCGCGAAGCGCGAAGTGCGAATAACTTCGCGCTCTCGCGCCGCCTCCCAGGGGAGAAGAGGAGGATGAGGAGGAATCGGAGCCGAACCGCGAAGCGCGAATAACTTCGCGCCCTCGAGGGCGACCTTGGCTCCTGCGCAAGAGCAGCCAAGGCCACACAGCCAGTCGGGGATCTGCTGACCCGGGTCAATCCAGACCCGGGTCAGCAGGAAACCAAAAAGCTGCAGTGCAAGAACAAACAACTGCAACGCAGGTCTTCGCAAACCCGGGTCAGCCAATAGGCGCGGCCGCCTCGCGGCCACGAGCGGCTCGCTAACCCGGGTCAGCCAAAGGGGGTCTTCGCAGGATCCTGCAGGATCAGGTGCCCTGGCTGACCCCCGTCTGCATTGACAGCCGTCTCTTAGGCTCCGAACCAGGTGAAGGGGCAAGTCAGCCGGCTTCGGCCGGATGGAGCCCAAGTTTGAACGGTATTCAGCGGAACGCTGCCGGATTGGACAAGCCTTCGCCCACGCATACACCAAAACTGCGATGCTCCATTCGACCTCTTGGGAACTGCATGCCGGCTCCTGGGCGCAGGCCGTGACGCACGACAGGCGATTTGCCTCCGCGCCCCTTGGGGTGGCCGGGGTGGCGGGCCCGTGTCGCCGACTCGAGCTGGCGGTAAGCACTGGCTAGCGCGCGCGCCGCGGTCACCGAGAAGCGTCCCAGGCGCAGCGGCCCCAGCACAGCCTGTACAATTCATGGGGCCCCCGAGGCAGGCGGTGAGCAGGCGCAGTCGGACACTCCTGCCATGCGCGCGCGACCCCAACCCCGCACGCAGGGGCCAAAGGTCACCATGAAGTTCGCGCGGTAGGCGCTACGAATATGGCATGGGCGGTCGCTAAATGGAGAAAGAGATAGAGATAAAAAAAGAGAGAGAAAAAGAGGGAGAGAGAGAGAGAGAGAGAAAACGCGGTCGAAGCAACATGATGAGCTGTAGGAAGAAAATCAAGATGGACACGAGGCAGCCTGAGCCTCCAGGGATGTGCCAAGCGTTCCGGATCATCAGCTCGAAGTAATCGTCGTCTTCTGCACGGCATTGCAAGGAATTGCATTATAAGTTATCCGATCGCCGATCGCCTTCCCATGACTTGGCTCCCGCTTGTCTTCCCGTTCCTTCGCATCCTGCTCCTTTTCCTCCTTGCCCCTTTTCTTCCCCCTCCTCTCCACAGCTTGAACGCCAAACCTCCAACTTCCCCTGAAAACTACTCGTCACAAAATGCGGGATTTCCTGGCGCGACTTGAAAACTGATATAACAAAAGCGACTCTGAACCGTTACGCCGCGCAGCCGCAGCCTGAGCGTGCTGCAACCCACACAATGCTGAGGGCAGCGCGGCAGTGCAACAGCTATTGATCGCGTTGCAGTTCTTTCCAGCAAAGCAGTCGCCCAGTGACAAAGGATGCAGAGAGACGGCGCGACACGCCGGACGAACGACAGACGACAGACGAGGAAGACACGATGGCCATCATCATTGGTCGGTCACCTAATTTGAATTCGAAGTTGTACCGTCCCACAGGTCATCGAATAATATCCAACAAACGAAGCCCCGAGAAAATTCATGAAATCTCATCGCTGCTCAGAAAGAAAACGGTACATCTGCACGACAAGCCAGACCATTTATCCCGCTGGTTTCTGGCCCACCTTCAGGACATGTGAATCAGAAAAAACGACGTCAGTCTGAATGATGCACTTGGGCATCCTGTCTGGAAAACAAGGGATTCCTGTGCAAAGCCCGCTTTGGGCAACCACGATTGACTAGACAACGACGATTCAACTCATCCAACAAAAGTGCCTAAAGCCGTGCAGAATACGCTTCGTTTCTAGTTGTAAGATTCTGCATGATGACGCTGTCCATGCAATCGGGGTGGGCAGTTCCCTTATGGCTGTCGCTACGCATGGAGGGCTTCGAACTCATGTGGTTCGGCCACACGTTATTCAGAAATTATTGATCCAACGGCGGACCAGGATGCAACAGGGTATTGAATACTTCTGGATCTAAACCCCGCGCTTTTTCCTTGCGCTCTGGATCGCTTCGGGGATTCGTTGCGCATTTCTTCTCATCGGAAAGCGTCAGGACTGCTGCTCGGCAGCCACACCTCCAACCGATGATTGCCCTAAAACCCCGTCTTTGGCCTCCCGTGGGCGTCTCCTGGGCCACCCTGAGGGCCGGCCCGAAAGGCCACCGTACAATGATTGACAGTATTGTGCTCCAAGCGATCCTCACCCAAACCTCCGGCGTTTATTCCCGAATCTGGTGCTGTCCGTTACCGTGGACAGCCTGTGCTCGGCGCGCACATCGCGTTTGAAAGGACGCCGTCGATGGGCCCCTGCTGCGTTCTAACTGGTGAACGTTTTCTCACTCGGCGTTGCGACATTAAGCTGAAGGGGGCGGGGCTGGCTCCAGACCTCTGCTTAATATGCGAGTGTTTGCAACAGTCCGCCCTGTGAGGGAGCCTCCACCTGCTTGAAAACAGGCGCCAAACACAGCCAAGATCTACTCCATGGGTGGGAGGGGGAGGGGGGGAGGGGGGTTGCGAGGGCTCGCGCCGATCGGCAAAGCAAGGAATAAGAAAACGACGACCAATCATGTTTTGTTTAGTGTTGTGTTGCTTTGTGCGCATATTGTTTCTCATGTCCAGCTCTTGACAGGGCGGCGTGTCGTCGATTCGCTCGTTGCTGCGCTTGTTTTTGTCACGTGGCCAGCCTTACGTCGTCGTGGATGCTGAGCTTGATAGGGCGCCATTAATATGCCATTGTTTTGTCCAGAAATGCTAAAGCATGTCCATAGATTGGACTCCGTGATGTTCTGGTATGTTCTGCTGTGTGATGTCATGCTGTGTTCTCGACGGGCCAGCGTGACGTCGTGACGCCTGTCGCGCTGGATGCGTCGTCCAATCGATCGTTACTGCGCCTGTTTGTTGCTGTGGCCAACCGGACCTCGGCGTGCACGTCGGTGCTTGCTAATATCATGATACAGCCGGCTATGATATGATGTTTGATGAAATGCCGTAAAATAGTGGCTGATGTGACATGCTGTGCTGTATGTTTGTGTAGTTTTTGAGATCACCTCAATGTCGTAGATGACATCATGTTCTGATAGCTACTGTTCTGGACGAAATAGCGTGACGTCGTCAAGCGTGTCACGTCTGATACGTCTTCTCAATCGGTCGTTGCTGTTACTGTTGGATTATGTGGCCAGCGTGGGCTCGGCGCGCATTGCTCGGTCTCTACTGCATTATACTATGTAACGTTATGTTTGGTTCTGTACGGGGCGGCGTGACGCCGTGACGCCTGTCAGGTTTGTGTATGCAGTGGAACCACGCGCGCGCTTCGCGCTCGCGTAGGTTCTAGCAGACCCTGGGCCTTGACGAATTCACTGCTCCACTGGAGTAATGGACCACAGATGGTTTGAACGGGAAGTGAAGAAGCATCCACAACGCTGAACGCACTATGGGCAGTGAGAAGTCCATGCATGTCAACCCGTATCCCGGAAGGTTTTTGGGGAAGATGGTTGCGTCAGTAGGGTTAAGTCGGGCGTGTCCCCCTACATGGGGACTTTCGACGAAAAATTAAACACACTCACAGAAGACTCCAACATGTTCAAAAAATACTCAAAAGAACCATCCCCAGACTGTGTGTTTACTATGTTTGAATATTCCCCCTGTAGGTAGAGGGACAGGCCCGACTTTTAGCATTAGGGGGGCGCGCGCCGCGCACCGCGGGAGACGAGAGCAGAAATCGGGAGGAGAGAGGCGGAGAGAGGCGGTGGCGAGAGGAGGAGAGGGAGGAGGAGGAGGAGGCTGACGCCACGAGCGGGAGTGCGCTCGGCGGCCTGGCTAAGAAAAAGGAGGAGGAGGAGGACGGAGGGGGAGCAGAGAGGAGGAGGTGAGAGGAGGTGGCGAGAGGGGGAGCAGAGGAGGAGAAAGTAGAAATCAGGAGGAGAGAGGAGGAGAGAGGCGGTGGCGAGAGGAGGAGGAGGAGGAAGGAGAGGGAACAGAGAGGAGGAGGAGGAGGCCACCGTCGGTCGTCGGACCGTAGCTGGGGCCTCCGGCGAACGTTGGGGAAGAGTTCGGCACCCCCGGAACGCGCTATTGTCATCCCGGATCCGTTTCTAACGGGCCTGGGGCCCGAAAGCGGCTCTGGAGCCCGAAGAGTAAGAGAAACCTCCGAAGTCCGAAGGTCTTCGACGTTCGACGACGTCGTGTCGACGACAGAGCGACGACGACGACGACGACGACGAAGACGACGACGGCGCAGAACCTCGGCCCCCGTGCTTCTGGACCCCCTCTGGAGGATCTCCTCACCCCCTCCGTAGGACTGGCTGAAGACGATCACTAAGACACAAACTCGGGCCCCAGCGTACGGAGAAGCCGGAACACGTCCCGGGTGATACCATAATGTTCAAAAAGGCACTTGGGAAAACTTTGTGCGAAACGATCCGCGGAGGGCCGCGAGAAGGCGATCAGTCAGGTTCCCAGCCAACTTCCCAGACAGCTCTCCAGTAGCGTTGTTGAGTGTACTTCGGAGCCTCTGGAGACTCTCGGGCCCATGCTGAACCATGTCCCCGGAAGGTTTTCTGGGGACATAATTTGTTGAGGTGTGTTGGGGTGCCTCTTGAGCGTTCCCTGTGGACCCCTTTGGGGGCGTCTGGGGCTTCCTGAGAGCTTCTTGGGAGCCTCACTGAGCTTCTTGGGAGCCTCTTGGTAGCTTTCGGGAGCCTATTGTGGGCCTCTGGGGCCAGAGACCTCGACATATCGGTTCGTGGTCTCCCTCTGGGCCCCCTCTTGGGGCGTTCTTGGGGCACACTTGGGCTGCCTGGGGAGCCTCCTGGGCCGTCTTGGGGCCCTCTTCGGGGCTTCGTGGGCCGTCTTGGAGCGATCTGAAAGGCCTCCGAGGCCGTGAGGGCGCGCTGGGAAGCGGGAAAAGCGAGAACGCCAAAATCCCTAAGAAATAATGGGGAAATGTATGAATGTTGCCTCCCAGGGCCCTCTTGGGGAGCCTCTTAAGGCCGTCCTGGAGCGTGCTGGAGTCCTCGCCGGCCGTCTTGGAGGCATCTTGGGCGTCCTCGGGGCCTCTTGGGACGGTCTTAGGCCCTCTTGGGACCCCCGTAGCCTGTCGTGGCCCGTTTCGGGGCGGGCCCAGGCCGTGTCGGGAGCTCTGGGGGACCAGAAACCCTGGGGGGGCGCACATGGGGCGTACAAGCACTGGCCCGCCCCCCTCCCCGGCCTACTCCGATACATGTATATATGTATATATATATATATATATACATATCTATATGTATATATATATATGCATATATACATATATACATATATATATATATATATGTGTATATATATATGTGTGTGGGTGTATAAGTATGCTCGCCGCCCTGTGATCATACATGTCGCCTTTTGTCTACTCATCCTAATCATCCTTCTCCCCCTCCTCGTCCTCGTCGTCGTCCTCCTCCTCTTCCTCATCATCCTCCTCTCCCTCCCCATCATCTCCCCTCACCCTGCCTTCTTTTCCCCTATTCATCTCCTCCATCTCCTCCTCCTCCTAGTTCTCATCCCTGCCCTCTTCCTCCTCCTCCTCGTCCCCGTCCTCCTCCACCTCCTTTTCCTCCTCCTCCTCCTCCTCCTCCTCCTCCTCTTCCTCCTCCTTCTCTCCCTCCCCATCCCCTCCCCTCCTCCTCCATCCATGCCCGTTCCCTCTTGCCCTCTTCGTGCATTGTTCTTGTCGTTGTCTCTCTGCCGACGGCGGCTTCAATTATTACTTGTTTTACTTTGCTTACTGTCGTCCTTGCGGGGCGTTCGAAGGTTGACGGTCGAACAGCCTCCTTATCTTCCTCCTCCCCCTCCGCATCATCTCCCGTCATCCTCCTCTTCATCCTCCTTCCTCCTCCTCCTCCTACTCCTCCTATGATCGCGCCGCCCCCTCCTCCTCCTCCTCCTCCTCCTCCTGCTCCTCTCCCTCTCTCTTCCTCTCTTTTTCTCCCTTTCTGTAGATGTCCCATTCTCGGGACACTTGCCGTTGCAAAAT